TGCTTAAGTGGTGGAATTCAATTCAATTCAATTCAAAAATACTTTATTAATCCCAGAGGGAAATTGATTGCTGTATTAGCTCAGAATGATAATAATAATCAAGTCATCAAAGAGTTGTTGTATATTACAGTGGCTGTTGGCAGGCAGGATCTCCAGTAGCGGTCAGTATTGCAGCAAAACTGAAGAAGCCTCTGACTGAAGACACTCTTCCGTTGTCGGACAGTCTTGTGAAGAGATTGCTCAGGGTTGTCCATAATTTTCTTGATTCTCTGGAGAATCCTTCTTTGCATTATCTCCTCCAGTGGTTCCACAGTCGTCCCCAGAACAGAACCAGCCTTTTTTATTAGGCTGTTGAGCCTTTTCAGGTCCCTGCTTCTGATGCTACTACCCCAACAGACGATGGCTGAAGAGATTACACTGTCAACAACAGACGTGTAGAAGATCTGCAGCATCTTGCTACAGACATTGAAGGACCTAAGCGTCCTCAAGAAGTGCAGTCTGCTGTGTCCCCTCTTGTAAACGGCTTCGCTGTTCTTTCTCCAGTCCAGTCTGTTGTCCAGGTGAACTCCAAGGTGTTTGTATTCCTCAACCACCTCCACTTCTTCTCCCATGATGGAAACAGTGTTTGACTCCACCCTGTTTCTTCTGAAGTCTAAAATCATCTCCTTTGTTTTGTTCATGTTCAAGGTCAGTGAAGTGGAGGTGGAGATACCATATAGTACTGAATTAGAGTAGTCGAGACGGGAGGTAATGAAGGCATGGACAACTGAATGGAGACAACGCCTTTTTAAAATGGGCTTAACTTTAGAGAGACGCCTATAGTGGTAAAAACAGGCCTTAGCTACCTGGTTGACATGAATGTCCATTTTTAGGTTAGCATCCATCACGACCCCCAAATTTGAGACACGGGTTTTAAACCCACTTGAAATAAAATGAAGGGTCTGTTGAGGGCTTGGAGAAGTCTTAGGGCTGAAAATGAAAGCCTCTGTCTTGGCATCATTCAGCAAAAGAAAGTTTTCAGACAGCCAGCTCTTCACATCATTGATGCATTCAACGAGGGGCTGTAAGGAGTCACTAGGCTTCACAGAGGCACATAATTGGCAATCGTCTGCATATAAATGGTAGTCAACGTAGTGTTTATTTTTTAAAATGTCACCCGGGGCAAAATATATAAATTAAATAAAAGGGGTCCAAGAATAGAGCCCTGACGTACACCACAAGTCAAAGCTGCAGTTTTAAAACATCACAGTAGAATCCAGCAGAAATGTGGTGATGTGCCTTTTTTTGCAGGTGCGCTGGTATTGCACGGTTGGCAGCAGTGCGCTCTCACCTATAAAACTTTAATTTTCCTATGGTTTGATTAACACTGGATGCATTTTGGTGCATGCCATGGAACGTATGAGCGTTGTGTGATATATCTCTTAAAGGGATGAGGGACTCTCTGGTGAAGACATGATCATTTGATCAGATAGATGGCTCCGGTCAAACAAGCCACTCTTCAACACTTATCCAGGTGTTATGATGTAGCTCTGACCTTCACCAAGGAAGTTTCACAATCATTCACACCTTGAGATGAGACTGAAACTCTTCACTAGTTGGTTTATTTGGAAAACAACTCACAAGTGACAATGGTTTGAATTACTCACATGATGGATGGGTGTTACAGCGAATCATGTGACTACAAATGACCCTTTCATCATGAACACATTAACCCTTTTACAGCTGGAGTGCCCAACCCCTTTTTAGACCTAAAGACTATTTGGATTAAGGAGGAAACAACTTCAAGAAGAAAATAAGTTGATTTGTTTTTTTACTTTGCAGGTAAACAGTTAAGGTTACCTGTGCGTCGCAGGTAAGTCACTGGCTGCCCTTAACTACTCCATAAAATTCTGCCTTGAACCGTCTTCTCTTTGACATCACAAGTCTGAGTGCTGAAACCTTAGCTCTAAAACAGTTGACCGGTATAAAATGTTTTCCTATTATTATTTACAGAAAGTTTCTAAAAATATTAATTTGATTTAAAATTCCATTGAGAAAGGAACCATCGAAAGAAGACTTGCTGTATGTTTAGATGATTTGGATGCATTCAGAAGTTTGGTCAGATCACTGATACTGACGCTTGGCTAAACTTTTACCACAGTTTTCTCTTCTGAGTTAAACTGTCAGGGCTTAAGCTGATCGTATTAAAATTAAGTTAAGATGTGGCAAATAATAAAAGTCCTTTCAATGTGTCCTCTGTTAAACACACACAGGTATTTAGATGCGGTTATTGGTTATCGTGTGAAAAATTAGCATTTTATGTATAGAAACAGAAAACATATCAATGAGCTGGATCCACAAAATGGAACAAATCAGTAAAGTTTGGATGCACATAACTAGTTCATGTATGGATTAATAGGATATTCACCGCGTTCCTTCTCACATGACAACTGTTTCACTCAACACAATGTAGGTCGCAGGTCACTAGTTACTCATTTAACACAGACCCTTTGACGTGTGATGTCACATGCTCAAGGTCCTGCTAGCAGCTTCTGGCTGGGGGGGGGGGGGGGGGGGGTTGGGGGGCAAGAAGACGATGCAACACCAATGCCCACCTTTGGTGTTATCTGTCAGCTGTCAATAAATTGAGCTAAATTGCAGCAAAATGAAATTAATCATCATAGTAAACACATAGAGCTGTAGGCTGCATGAGTAGACAAAAGAAGGTCAGTAATGTAAAATACGCCAGAGGCAGTGGCTAACAGCCACAGAGAGAGTTTGTCCGAGCCAAGGTCTCATAACAGATTAACAAAGTAAAGTATCTGCCCCACGTGTCCAGACACGAACAGGTTATAGCCATCTAAACCACCAAAAAGTGCCAGAGCCCAGCTGTGTCTGCAGCTCACTGCTCCCCGGGGACGGGACAAATGCAGAGAACAAGTTTCACACACACCAGGGTGTGTCCACTGTGCTCAATGTCTGCTATTGTTTCTTCTGAGAGTGAGGCCCCTTCTGTGTGGAGGATCTTCCCTTTCTTTGTCTCCATCTGACCACACTTCTCAAGTCTGAATGGCATTCTGATATCAAAGCTGTAGATGCTGGTGGTGTGGATCAGTGAGTCGATGTCTCACTCATTCTTGGCGTACAGCTTTATGTTATCCATGTAGAGGAGGTGGCTGGTTGTGATTCCCTTCTTGAGTCGGTATCCATAACCAGTCTTGTTGATTATTTGGCCAAGGGGGATCAGACCTATACAGAACAGCAGTGGGGAAAGGGGATGTTGTACATCTCCAAGCATCGAATGATCCATGAATGCAGCATTGAGTCGTTGGCTTTCTTGTAATCAACCCAGGCCGTACACCGTATGTGTATGTATATGTCGATGCCGTACACAGGTTGGTGTGTCGGGCGTTGCAGTTTTGGGTAACTGTTCGGTCTACCAGCAGCAGGTGTGTGAATCCTCTGGTAACTCTGCTGATGCCCTTCTGTGCTGTGCTCATGTATTGATCCATGTGCCCACTTATCATCATCATCATCATGTTCATCATCTTCATCATTCTTACGATCATCATCATCTTCATCATATTTAACAATCATCATCATCATCATCATCATTATCTTCTTTTTCTTCATTATCATCATATTCGTCATCATCTTCATCATTCTTACCATCAACATCATCATTATCATCATCATCATCATAATTTTCATCTTCATCATTATCATCATAATCATCATCATGTTCTTCATCATCATGTTCATCATCTTCATCATTCTTACCATCATCATCGTCTTCATGATAATTAACAATCATCATCATTATCATCATCATCATTTTCATCTTCTTCTTCATTATCATCATATTCGTCATCATCTTCATCATTCTTACCATCATCATCATCACAATCATCATCATCATTTTCATCTTCATCATTATCATCATAATCATCATCATCATGTTCATCATCATCATCATCATCATCATCATCATCATCATTTTCATTATTATCATCATAATCATCATCATGTTCACCATGTTCATCATCATCATCATCATGTTCATCATGTTCATCATCATCATCATCATCATGTTTATCATCATGTTCATCATTCTTACCACCATCATCATCATCATCATCATCATAATTAACAATCATCATCATCATCATCTTCATTTTCATCATGCTTGCCATTATTTTCTTCATCATCATAGTTAACAACCATCATCATCATCATCATCATCATCTTCTTCTTCTTCTTCTTCATTCTTACCATCATCATCATCATCATCATAATAATAATTAACAATCATCATCATCATCTTCATTTTCATCATGCTTGCCATTTTTTTCTTCATCATCATAGTTAACCACCATCATCATCATCATCATCATCTTCTTCTTCTTCTTCATTCTTACCATCATCATCATCATCATCATCATCATCATCGTCATCTTCGTCATCTTCATCATATTCGTCTCCATCTCTTCATCATTCTTACCATCATCAGCATCTTCTTCATCATCATCTTCATCATCATCATCATCATCATCAATTAACATTTTATGCTAATTTTACTGCAGCAGTCAAAAATCGCACATAGGGCCTTCTTTGTTATAGTTTAAAAAACTCCTAAACCAACATGTTTTTCTCCCAATTGTTGACATTACTAACTATTCCATTTGTGTTTCCCAACACTTTACTTTGAAGCAATAGACCAACAAACTCCTGCTCAGGAAAAGTTCAATCAATGAAAGAGAATCAAGTCTGATGGGACGATGAGCTCCAGCAGACGACCCGTGAGACTGAACCTCCCAGTAAAAAGGACCTGACACACTTCCAGACCTTCATCTTTCTGCCTAGTCACCTTTTTTCTGTCGCTCAGCCTTTAGTTTGACACAATTACTGCAGGATCCAAACTGGAGGACAGAGACCCAGAGCAGGTCAAGTTAATAATTGACCAGTTTTAGCTGTCAAACTGCTCCACATGAGCTGAAGAATACGTGCGGGCCGTGTGGAGCTTTCAGCTGAGAGAGGGAGGGCTATTGATCAGAGAGGCTTATCTCAGCGATTGATCCGCTCTCATAAATACAGGGATGGTAGTCTCTGAGTGGGAAATCTTTCATCAGCACTGAGCCTGTAAGGTCATAATTAAGTTTTAGCATCAACATTTTGATCTTCAGTCAGTCATGGGAGTCGCCTACAGCGTTGGAGAGTAAGTAAAGCGATCATCATGGCAGGTTTAAATAATGTGAGTTGGGTTTTTATACAGACATGATTGTAAGTAAATCCGTTCAGATGAGCATTTAATGCTTTTATGTACCAGAAGGTAAACACAGCTTTGTTTGAGTTGAGTCTAATTTATGCATGTGAGGGCATCAACACCAGCCAATGTATGAAGAGGTATTTAGGTAATGAGAACTGCAAATAGGATATGTGCAAATGATGCAAAGGGTGATTTTTATTAAATGGAAAATATGTCTGCTGTTGTGCAACTCTGGAGATCACTGAGATTTAACTTGGATGAAGAGAAAAGATATAAAAAACTTGTCTGCTAGTGATTGTTTATGCAAATCTCTGGAAAGTGAAGCAATGAAACCATGAAAATCTTTAATTAGGAGTTCATAAATGTCCACTCATGCTCATGATTCAGCCTTCATGACTAACGTTTCTAACATCTTGCACTTTCCCGTGCACAGGTAGCTTCCCGACATGTCACAGAGGATTCTTGTTGTCACATTCTTTGTATTCAGAGAAAAGAATTATGATAACTAATTGTCCTGTGTTTGGATTTCGTCCGTTCTGTTAATACTCCTTGGTAATGGCAAGTGTGTTTGGCATCATTATGTGATGAGTTCATTTGCAAAACGGAAAACTCAGTTTTGTAAATTTTCAGAAATATCACCCTATTTTTTTCAGTTTCAATCAAGTTTGGAGATTGAGAAGAAATACAATTATGCTTGTTTTGTGTGATGCTAATTGTTGTTCTTTGCCTGTTTCTCTGCAGGGTTGACCATCTCTTCGCCTTCTTTGTAGAATGGTCACCTAACATGTACGGTAAAAGCAAGAAAAAACACTGCAAGTCTTGTAATCACAAGAAAAAGAAAGATCTCAGCGGTTATCTGGTAGACAAAGACATGGATCCAGCAAACCAACCCAAAGCTGCAAAAAACTGGAAGGTAAGCACTGAACACTAGTACCATGACTACAGCTGATTTGGTTTGGAACGCAAGCTCAAAACAGTCTCCAGTTGTTAAAAACACAGAGTACTATTTTACAACTAAAGCATAGTTTTGCCAGTTACTGTACAGGGTTGCATGTTTCTGCTGTCTAAAACAGAAAAGTGTGAAGAACAAATTTAACCAATTCTAAAAGAAACTGGTGGAAAGTGATGAAAAATATGCGTAAATCATAAAAACCATTGATCAGAACTACTGTTTTAGACAAACAAGTAAACCTATATTTGTTCATTTTCAAATTGACAGTTTTATTATGAAGTACATCAAACTGCAATTTTTTATTTAGTATTGTCAAAGACTTGCCTCTGTCAGCACGCCCCCGTGCAGCTGTGGCTACATCATAGCTCAACCCCACCAGCGTGTGAATGACTGATTGTGTTGTGAAGGGCCTTGGGGGGTTTTAGAGCCCTAACAAGAGGCTGTACATATACAGACCATTTACCATATTAAAAATCTAAATCATAATCAACATTATTGTCATTGAACCAGCATCCCGGTACAACAAAATTTGACTTCACACCACAGCCCGACCAAGAAGACACCCCCGCCCACATGCAGACAAAGCATGTTCAGGCAGACTATAGAGCTCCGGGAGTTGACGTCACTTCTCCCGGCATGCAACAGTTCAAATCGAAACGGCGCCATATTGGCATGCAGAAGCCGGCAGCTGGACTATTTGTTATTGTCAGAAAACTCAATCAAACGGGAAAGATGGTAGATTCCTGTTGTGCCCCAGGATGCAGAACAGACACGGACGACATAAGGAATGAGCCATCTACAGCAGTGGTACTCAACCTTTTTTGACTGATGTACCCCCTTTGAAATATTTTTTTCAGCCGAGTACCCCCTAATGAGCGCAAAAGCATTGGGGGGAGGACTCTGGGATTTTGGTATAATGAATTTAGCCTACTTCTACTGAATATAAAACACATTTTATGAACTTTTACTTATATTTTCCTAAAATATTTATTAAATAATTATTTTTTTAAAAGATTTTCCATGGATACTGTTTTTTTAAATGAATGTACATTTTCTCACGTACCCCCGGAGTTTCTTTACGTACCCCCAGGGGTACGCGTACCCCCATTTGAGAAAGGCTGATCTACAGGATTCCCCAAGATCCGGAGCGCCGCAAACGTTGGATCATTGTAATAAAATGCGCTAGTGACCGGGCTGAAATGAAGCTGTGCGATCCCGAGAGTAAAGGTTTTCGCTTATGCAGCGACCGCTTCATATCAGGTACTTAAACAACGTTTCCTCAACTGTGTATGGTATTTATTTTAAATGCTTTTATTACGATTCTTAGTGGGCTTCCTAAACTTATTTTGGCGTGGCTTTTTCTGTCTTATTACTCATAGCAGCAAGTAAACATCACGTAAAACGTTGCCTCGTGAGTTCTGCGTGCTGCCTTTACGTTTTTTATGATCACAGCAGTTAACCGGCTAAGCTGTATTTAATTTTTAAGCAATGGTTGATCAATTGTCAGATCACACATAAAAAGCTCTTTGGATTGCTATTATCTGTCTCACCGAGACTACTTACGTGTAAATCTGTTATTTGTCCGTCCATCCATCCATTTTCATCCGCCTATCCGGAGTCGGGTTGCGGGGGCAGTAGCGTGACTTCCCTCTCCCCAGCCGCCGGAGCCAGCTCCTCCGGGTAAATCCCAAGGGGTTCCCCGGTTAGGTCCGGTGTTGTGCCGGTAAGAAGCCCGCTCCCTGGCGTCGGAGCGGGCAGTAGAGTCGGGAGTCCCAGACCTTCTCCCCAGCTCCTCCGGCTGGGGGGAATCGGCCGGGGGAATCCCAAGGGGTTCCCCCGGCCAGGTCCGGTGTTGTGCCGGTATGAAGTCTGCTCCGACAGCTTCTGGCGTTTTTAAAAAGTATCCCAGGGGCACGGTAAGGGTCGGAGATGTTTAGTCTATTTAATTTCTGACTATATAAAACGATTTCTTCTGTTTTAAAGTGCGAAGTAAACTCCGACGAAGTAAAATCCAAGCGGATCCCGTTCATGTTCATGGTTACATCCGTGTTTGTTTACCTTTTTTGCATGCCAAAATGGCGTCTACTAACTGAGAGTCACGTGGGGTCCGGAGCTCTATAGAGCAGCCACTCCTGGGAAAGGAGAAAGGGGAGTGACATCGAGGGAGGAGGGGTTGAAGCTACATTCCACACACTCCAGTCTCCACTGTTCCAGGGTGGGGAGGAGTTTCAGGGAACGAGAGAGAGAACTGAATCCAAGGTGGTGTGTGTGCGTGTCTGTCAGACTTGGGAGTGTGTTCATGCATGTAAGTTGCATCAGTAATTAGTGGCTGTGACACTTTTTTGTAGTTGCCTATTTTTCCAACCTGGTGTCCCAGAGCAAAGGGAACCCCAAGGTGCTGTTTAACACCATCAGCAGTATCGTCTCTCCTGCCTCTCCTACAGCCTCCATCCACTCTGTTGCAGACTGAAAACTTTCTGTCTTTCTGGATTGTGGACAAAGTCAGTAAGGTCAGTTCTAGCATCTCTCCCTCAGCCTGATCTCTGCCTCTCTCATCATCCTAGATAGCTTTGCTCCTGTTTCTTTGCCTGAGGTAACCAAACTAGTTAACTCTATGAAGACCTCTGCATGCCCCCTCGACATCTTACCCTCATCTTTGTTTAAAAGTGCTTTTCAGTCCATCAGTACCAGCGTGCTCTCTATAATTAATGCTTCCCTCGTTTCTGGTCAGGTCCCTGCTTACTTTAAGAATGCTGTAATCCACCCGCTTCTTAAAAACCGGGTCTTGACCCCTCTCTCCACAGCAGCTTCAGACCCATCTCTAAACTTCCATTCATCTCCAAGATCTTGGAAAAGGTTGTGGCTAAACAACTCGCTGCTGCTCTTGATGAACATAACATGTATGATAGTTTCCAGTCAGGTTTTCGTAGAGCTCATTCTACTGAAACAGCTCTTCTTAGGGTCTCTAATGACATTCTGACTCACAGTGATGCAGGGGACTGTTCTGTTCTGGTCCTGCTGGACCTGACTGCAGCCTTTGACACTGTTGACCATCACCTGCTACTGGAGAGGCTGAGAGACTGGGTAGGCCTATCAGGATCTGCTCTGGAGTGGTTCTCTTATCTCTCTGAGCGCTCCTTTTCTGTGGCCGTCTCCAAGTTTAGGTCCTCCACCACCTCTCTCACCCATGGTGCCCCACAAGTTCTGTGCTGGGGCCTCTGCTCTTCCTCCTCTATCTGCTTCCTCTTCAGGACATCCTGAGCTCCTTCAAAGGAATCTCCTACCATCTTTATGCAGATGACATCCAACTGTACATCTCCTTTAAGCCCCATGAGATGTCTAAGCTGCAGTTGTTCCACATCTGCTTAGACTCTATTAAAACCTGGATGGTGGGAACTTTCTATAGCTGACTGAAGCTGAGATCCTCATCTGAGCCACAGACAAGCTGGTTCCCAAAGTAAGAGACCCTCTACAGGTGCTGGCCAGTAAATTAGAATATCATCAAAAGGTTGAAAATATTTCAGTAATTCCATTCAAAACGTGAAACTTGTACATTATAGTCATGCAATGCACACAGACCAATGTATTTCCAATGTTTATTACGTTTAATTTTGATATTTATAGGTGACAACCAATGAAAACATCAAATCTGGTATCTCAGAAAATTAGAATATTCTAAAGGCCAATGAAAAAATGTTTGTTTCTCTAATGTTGGCCAACTGAAAAGAATGAACATGAAAAGAATGTGCATGTATAGCACTCAATACTTAGTCGGGGCTCCTTTTGCCTCAATAACTGCAGTAATGCGGCGTGGCATGGACTCGATCAGTCTGTGGCACTGCTCAGGTGTTATGAGAGCCCAGGTTGCTCTGATAGTCGTCTTCAGCTCCTCTGCATTGTTGGGTCTAGCGTATTGCATCCTCCGCTTCACAATACCCCATAGATTTTCTATGGGGTTAAGGTCAGGCGAGTTTGCTGGCCAATCAAGGACAGGGATACCATGGTCCTTGAACCAGGTGCTGGTGGTTTTGGCACTGTGTGCAGGTGCCAAGTCCTGTTGAAAGGTGAAGTCTGCATCCCCATAAAGTTGGTCAGCAGCAGGAAGCATGAAGTGCTCTAAAACTTCCTGGTAGACGGCTGCATTGACCCTGGACCTCAGGAAACAGAGTGGGCCAACACCGGCAGATGACATGGCACCCCACACCATCACTGACGGTGGAAACTTTACACTGGACCTCATGCAACGTGGATTCTGTGCTTCTCCGCTCTTCCTCCAGACTCTGGGTCCTTGATTTCCAAAGGAAATGCAGAACTTGCTTTCATCAGAAAACATAACTTTGGACCACTCAGCATCAGTCCAGTCCTTTTTGTCCTTGGCCCAGGTGAGACGTTTCTTGCGCTGTTTCTTGTTCAAGAGTGGCTTGACACACGGAATGCGACACCTGAATCCCATGTCTTTCATGAGTCTCCTCGTGGTGGTTCTTGAAGCGCTGACTCCAGCTGCAGTCCACTCTTTGTGGATCTCCCCCACATTTTTGAATGGGTTTGTCGTCACAATTCTCTGCAGGGTGCGGTTATCCCTAGAGCTTGTACACTTTTTTCTACCACATTGTTTCCGTCCCTTCGCCTGTCTGTTAATGTGCTTGGACACAGAGCTCTGCGAACAGCCAGCTTCTTTAGCAATCACCTTTTGTGTCTTGCCCTCCTTGTGCAAGGTGTCAATGATTGTCTTTTGGACAGCTGTTAAGTCAGAAGTCTTCCCCATGATTGTGGTGCCTTCAAAACAAGACTGAGGGACCTTTTAAAGGCCTTTGCAGGTGTTTTGAGTAAATCAGCTGATTAGAGTGGCAGCAGGTGTCTTCTATATTCAGCCTTTTCAGAATATTCTAATTTTTTGAGATACCAAATTTGGAGTTTTCATTAGTTGTCACTTATGAATATCAAATTTAAATGTAATGAACATTGGAAATTCATTGGTCTGTGTGCATTGCATGAATATAATGTACAAGTTTCACGTTTTGAATGGAATTACTGAAATATTTTCAACCTTTTGATGATATTCTAATTTACTGGCCAGCACCTGTAGGTCAGCTTTCTTCTCTAACCAAACCCTGAAACAACTCATCAGGTACCTTAGGTGGGCTGTCCTCTCGAGGCAAAAACTTTAAAACTCACTGCAGCACTCTCAAACAGACTTGAATTGCACGGAAGGGCCTTAAATGTCTGCTAATGTATGTTTTTCTTTTTAATATTTTTGCTTTTTACTCTCTGCTGTTGTGAAAGAGGAGGGAAACCATCTGTGGGTAACCCTGTTGTCTAGTAGCTGCGTTAGGCCACCTGAAAACAATAAGAGCAATTAGGGGCTGTAAACAAGCAGTTTCTCTCCTCCCTGAAACCACTCATCAGGTACTTAGGTCTCAACCAATGCAGTCAGCTAGTGCATTAACAGCTGTTTGCAATTAGGAGCACATCCTCCCTTTGTCCATATTCTCTAGCATGGGCATCACAGGAAAAGCACACCTCTGGTTTGAATCGTACCTGACAGGACGAACATTCAGTGTATCTTGGCAACATCTTGCCATAGGAGTTCCCCAGGGCTCTGTACTAGGACATCTTCTCTTTGCCATATACACCACCTCACTGGGTGAGATCATTCAATCACATGGCTTCTCCTACCACTGCTATGCCGCTGACACCCAGCCCTATCTGTCATTCCTGCTGGACGACCTCACAGTCTCTGCACGAACCTCAGCCTGTCTCTCTGAAATATCAAGATGGATTATATTCAATTCAAGTTTATTTATGTAGCACCAAATCACGACCAGAGTTGTCTCAAGGCACTTCACAAAGTAAACATTCCAATACAGGTCAGGGGCCTCATTTAACAAGCTTGCTTGCGCACAAAACGGGGTCGGAAAACTGCGTAAGCAACTTTCCACGCAAACTTTGGGATTTATGAAAGAAAACTTAGCGGAAAAATGTGTGCAACTTTAAGTTGACTAAGAACCTGGCTTGCGCACATTTTGGACATGGAGAGCACCTGCAGTGCTGCTGCTGAGAAGGATAAAATCATGAAATCCTGAAGCATTATCAATTGTACTGCTTCGTTTTCACACAGAACAAGACCCCCCACACTCACATGCACGCGCGCGCAGACACACACATGCTCGCACACACACCGTCACAGATCTCTCCGAAGAAATCAGCACTGACGGATTCAGCAATGCTGTTCCACTCCGGATTTTCTCTTGTTTGTTTTTCAAAAGCACTTCCTTTAATTTCTCCACCTCACCCATAAGTACCTGAATTTCTGCTTGTGAAATAGCGCTTCCTTGATCTGCGGTCGTGATCGAAATGCTGCAACAAGCCGGCTTATGTATATGCATGAGATCCACAAGGCACTTTGCATTGACTATTTATGGCAGTAAGTGGGCGTGGTGAGGGCGGGATGTGACTAAAATGCAGCTGAGAAACATTCTCGTTAGTCTCCGATTCATGAAGCGGAGATTGCGTGCAGCTGTGCGTACTCCATGTTTGATAGATCACAAACCTACTTGGCGAGAGTAAATTTTTTTGCTGAGCTTAAGTACGGTTTTAGTAAGTATTCTACGCAATGTTTGATAAATGAGACCCCAGTTCATTAAGCCAATCAGTAAAAAGTTTCCTATATAAGGAACCCAGCAGGTTGCATCGAGTCACTGACTTGTGTCAGAGTCTTTACAGCAATCCTCATACTAAGCAAGCATGCAGCGACAGTGGAGAGGAAAACTCCCTTTTAACAGGAAGAAACCTCCAGAGGATCCTGGCTCAGTATAAGCAGCCATCCTGCAGTCTTCATCAGAGCTAGCCGCTGATGGTCGCCATCAATTCCTTCTCCGTTTATCTGCGGGCAGCAGAGGACGGTGCCACCCTCTGCTGCCCGCACTCTCCTCACCGAAGACACAGTCCCACGATCTAATTTGTACTACACCTCATGGTCTCTGTTCATGGTTCCATGCCCACATCTCCTTATTTCTACAGATCATTTTATGCATCTTTTATATATCTGCTGTTCGGTGTTTCTGATCCTTGTGTTGTCCCAGTCCATTATATGGTTTCCTCTTGTGCAGTGATCTGTTACGGCTGACTTCTTTATTGTGCTTTCTGCTTCTTGTTTTGCTGCTCTTGTGTGTCTTCGACTTGTTTCTTTCTCCCACTCCTTTCTAATTTCCATTGTTGGTGTGTTGAGTTGGTGTCCGGTTTCTCCTATGTATGTTTTATTGCGGAGTTTGCACGGGATTCCTACACGACTCCACACTCATGTCCTGCTGATATCTTGTCATTTGGGTGTGCTAGTCTGTTTCTAACTGTTGCATGTGGTTTTGTTGTTGCTATTTTTTTTTCTGATATGCATTTGATGCATGGTAGGGTTATCACTGGTTTTGGTTCTTGTCTTTCTGGATTTCTAGTTATTTGTTTTGGGTGTTCTTTTCTTTCTGTTGTTGTGTGTTGTTTTCCTTTGTTTATTGCCAAAGACAACACAAGGATCATAAACACACAAACATAGATATAAAAGATGGATTAAGGAATCCATAGAAATAAGGAGACGTGGGCACAGAACCGGGCATAGAGACGATGGGGTGTACACATTAGATCATGGGACTGTGTCATCGGTGAGGACAGAGTGAGGAGCAGAGGGCGAAACCGTTTTGTTGCCCAATGATAAACAGAGAAGGATGTGATGCCCGCCATTAGTGGCTAGCTCTGATGAAGACAGCAGGGGTGGTCAAAACTCTCAGCAAGGTAAAAAGAAAAAAACATGTCACGTGTCAAAAAAATGCAAGCAAAAGAAATACACATAAGGAATATACAAAAGATGCTGTCACACTTTCTTAAGTACTTAGTCCCTTTGCAGTCATGGATGTAGTTTTTTGGGGGGGACAAGACCCCCCATGGTCATTTTTTGTCCCCTGCAGTTTCTACCATCCCAAAACAATATTACACTACATTAAACAGACACTTGTTGAGCTCTAGGACCAAGCAGAAAACAACAGCTTGTGCTGAAGCCTGCTTCCCTTAGAACCATGCATAAGCTTATCTATTGGCTCTGCTGATCTTGCTAACATGTGATTGGCCATTCCTGCCACCTGTGTACTTGACAGTTCTGCATTCCTGGCATTGCATAAAAGAACCTCTAGGCAGTTTTATGCTAAATTTTGTATACTTACTGTAAAGTACTCCTAAAGTTAAAACTATGTCCATGCTTGCAGTGAAGACAGCAAATATCCTGGAGCTCATTCCTACTATTATGAGAAACGCACTGCACCATATATGGGCATCCTTCCTCCTGCTGCTGTGTCCTGGAACTAAGGTTAACTTCAGAGTTGAGCCACATAGGAAACTGTAGAAAAGCCAACTGAGCAGCCATGTGCTCGACTTCCCGATCAACGAAAGTGAAAGCATCTCTGAGTGTATGAGAGGTGGACCATGTCTTTAGAGAGCAGACATGTGGAGCAGCAGAGAGCTGAAGGTAGCCTCCAAACCAGGAGCTATGAGGAAAATCCAGAAGAAAATAAGAGTGCTTTTTGTAGCCAGTGACTGTGTGGAGCCGTATGTGCAGGTGAGGACTTAATGTGCCGGTGTTTGATGGTGAGCTACAATCATTCAAGCCTCCAAAAAGAGTTGGAATTCAACAAAACCGTTTGTGGGATTAAACAAGAATCATGCAACTAATTGACAGTTTATTAGGTCAACTGCTCATATAGGTCCTATATCTTTAAAAAGGTGTACTAAATGTCAGTCGAAAACACTTCTAATAAACACGGGGATGCTTGAAATAAAAAGTTTATTTCATTGCATAATTATTACTATTAACATTTAAAATCATCTTTTATATTATTTCATTTCCTCAGATGAATAAACAATAAACAGAAATAATTTCCTTGCTTTTCTTCTCGTGGAAGTAAGACTTCACAGACAAAGGTTGAGATTCTTCTGGAAAGCAGAATGAAACAGATTTTCTCACCGGTTTGTTGCATCTTGTGTCCTGTTCCAGATCATAACGGTGAAGGACTCCAAGCGCCGCCTGAGTTTTTGTAGCTCAGTGGAATCTGAGAAAGAGAACGAGGAATACCAGGAGGAAGATGAAGGAATGCTCCCTGTTCTGAACCAACCGAGTCAGCTGCTGCAAGACCATCACCTGCAAAAAGTAATTTTCACACCACTCCCTCTGCTTTTAGAGAAAGTACTTTTTACAGTCAATGTTAGGGACAGCGTTTAATCACAAAGTTGTTTTCCAACAGCTCGCTGCTCACATGCCGGCACGGACTCAAGGATATCCGTGGAATCTGGTCTACAGCACAGCCATCCATGGGAGCAGCCTGAAGACGCTTTACAGAAACATGGCTGACCTGGACAGCCCTGTGCTGCTGGTCATCAGAGACATGCACAACAAGGTTTGTGTCTCACGTCTGCGAGACCTTTGACCTAAAACCAGATGTCCACCACAGACACAGACTAACAAGCTGGTGTCTTCCAGGTGTTTGGAGCTTTTTCCTCTGATCCCTTCAAAGTCAGTCAGTATTGTTACGGCACCGGAGAGACCTTCCTGTTCACCTTTCAGCCGGACTTCCAGGTGAGAATCAAATCATTCTTTAGATTTCTGCTTGTCAATCATTTACCTACACGTCCTCACGTTACCTTGTGAATAGACATAAACAATAACATCATCACGCTAAAATGTCACCTAAAAACCCACAAATGTGGTGAGATGTTTATGGAAAATGAATGTTGAAAACGTAGCTCAGCGGTTAACTTGAACTCTTCATGGTTTGTGTTTTCTGTAGCATTACAGGTGGAGCGGAGAGAACTCCTACTTTGTGAGCGGCAACATGGAATCTCTGCACATCGGTGCAGGAGGGTGAGTTTTAGTCCCACTGAGTTATGGTCGTACACACACAGACCGGAAGTTAACATGGATGTCTGTGTTTTAGGGGCGGCTTTGCCCTGTGGCTGGATGCTGATCTGTACCATGGAGCCAGCTTTTCCTGTCCTACTTTTAATAATCCGCCTCTTTCCACACATCAAGACTTTATCGTACAAGATGTAGAGGTGTGGACGGTTCGAGGCTGAACCACGACACCAGGAACACGAGCTGTCCAATCGTGAAGCAGAACACTGGAAGCAGTTAAGCCTCTGCTTGGTCCCGATGGAGCGTTTGCTCCTGCAGACGACCCCACCTACTGGAGACAGTTTAATGGACTGGTTCTCTGACTGGGATTCCTGCTTGGTTGAACTGTGAGTGTTAAAGATGTGTAGCTGCATCAAGTCCTGAGCTTCAGGTTCCTGCTGATCAGAACTTCTGACAGCTCATTAATGCCTCCGTGTCATGAAGCCAGAATGTAGCTGGTGGATCTGAGGAGCACGCTGACACAAGGTTCGTCCAAGGACTTTGCTGGTTGAAAACTGCAGATTTAAAATGTTATCTTTTATTTTGGTGGAACAAATATCCGGGATTGTTCCATGGTTTTTAAACTACATGAGACTTTTATGGTTAATGCCTTGTCTGGGTTTTTAGTTAGATCTAAAATCTGCATCAGGTAGTGAAGGCAGGCCTAATGTTACATGTAGTTTTATTATAAACTGTTGACTGTAATGTGAGAGGCAGGCGGTAGAGGTGACCACAAACTGCCTTCTGTGTTTTTCTCTGAGATGGGCGTGTCTGTTATAAATGCTCAGAACAGTTTTAATAGCTATTTTTGATAGTTTATTTTAAATTAATATTTAAAGTTTGTACTTTTTACAGAATCTAACAAGAAAGCAAGCTAATGTTGTAGGTCTGTTGTTGGCTGTGCTCACCTTTGGGAGTAATTCTGAGTTGGTCAGACCGTGCTGGAGCGCTGCTATCGTGGTTTTGTAATACTACTGAATAAAAAAAAATTACTGACAATCCTTTCTGACTCAGGAGTTCCCATTTCATTAATCCTCATTTTATTTTCAACGAACTTACATCAGTGTGTCACCACAACATGCCTGCAGTGTCCTCCGCCAGCGCCAGTAACCCAAGGCGGGCGTAATCCATGTTTATGTTTATGTTTATGTTTACGTATTTAGCAGATGCTTTTGTCCAAAGCGACTTACAAGTGATTATGAAGCCAGCAGGTTGCCCTTGAGGTTAACAGCAAACATTATTCAGTTGATCCTAGGTGGCAGTGAGGCAGCAGAATCAATCATAAAGGGATGTGAACAAGGAGTGGACAGCAGGGTGGGGGACGGGTGCAGGGAGGGTGCAAGTTTAGAAGATGCTCTCTGAAGAGCTGGGTCTTCAGGAGTTTCTTGAAAATTGACAAGGAAGCACCTGTTCTAGTAGTGCTTGGTAGGTCATTCCACATCTGTGGAACGACACATGAATAGAGTCTGGATTGTTCTGAGCATGGTGTAGGCACTGCTAGCCGACGATCCTTGGATGACCAGAGCGGCCGGGCCGAGACGTAAGCCTTTACAAGAGGATTCAGGTAGATGGGAGCCGTACCATCCAGGACTTTGCCTGCTAGTGCCAGCTATTTCAATTTCATGCGTGCAGCTAGCGGCTAGCGGTAGCTAATGGACAGGGCTGCCAACTTTTGAACATTTCAAAGAGTGAGACTGGGTCATGGGGCTGGGAACGGACGTTCAGAGCGGGGGGGGGGGGGGGGGGTTGTTATTTATTTATTTTTGCTATCAAGCACAGCTGTTGAAGACTATTGCTTTTGAGACCTTCCATTTGGACTTCAGTAAGTCAAACAAACATATCTCATGTTCAGAATGCACGCTGTCCACTGAGGTGGACATGTAATAAATTATTTGTAAATTATTAAATGCTACAAAAAATGTTTGTTGAAATTTGTTTCATTCACACCTAAAGATGAATGAAAAAAATTCTTAAAAAATCATGGTTGAAGATTTCATAATTCATGCATTTTGTGCTCTACATTTTATTTATTTATTTCTACTTTGTATGGAAGAGGATTAGAGCCACTGACAGGAAAAAATAAGTAAAGAAAGAGAAATTTTACTTTTTTCTCAGAATTCTGATTTTTAATCTCGAAATTCTGGGAAAAAAGTCAGAATTCTCTTTCTTTTCCTTTTTTTTTAATTTTCAGTGGCCCTAATCCTCTTCCGTACCTCTGACTTTACAGAGGGAACCGACCTTTGTTTAATACAAATTTTCATTTCGCGAAGAAAATTTAACATCCAACTCTCCTGAACTCCTGAACTTTTTCACATTATCTATCTATCTATCTATCTATCTATCTATCTATCTATCTATCTATCTATCTATCTATCTATCTATCTATCTATCTATCTATCTATCTATCTATCTATCTATCTATCTATCTATCTATCTATCTATCTATCTATCATCTATCTATCTATCTATCTATCTATCTATCTATCAGCAGTAAAGAGTTACAGCTACACGTCACAAATGTCACACAAGAACTTTTAATTATAAATAATGTAAATGATTTAAATTCCATCTAGGGGTGGGCAATATCATGTCATTCATAATATTACCAGTTATTATTTGCTGCCAAGAAAAAAAATCTATCATGTTACAGTAAGCTAACTTCATGATGTAATTGCCTCCACTAAACAGAGGATTATGTTCATGTGGGTCATCAGCATGAAGTTATTGAAGTTGTCAAAGCAAACATGGTTGGAATTGGTTTTACTGCAATCTGTTTCTCTAAGTGTGTGCTGCTGTAATGAGTGGATGTCCCCACTGTGGGACTAATAACATCTACTCTATTCGATTATATTACAGTTTTTCTCAGTTGCTTTGGTGCATTTCTCACAACATAATTGATATCTGCACCACTACTAAGGCTCTTCTCAAAACAATTAGTGCAAACTGCAAAACATGGTGGATAACTTGCAAAAGTGAGTCACTTCATCAAAAAGAAAAGTCAGTTGCTCAAAAGAAGTAGTCAATGCTTCAAAAGCAAGTCCCTTAATCAAAACAGATAATATATTCGTCAAAAGCAAGTACTTATATCAGTCAAAGCGTCAGGGCTGTCACAATTACAAGTCACTACACCAGCACCTTTGGTCACAAAATCAAATGGTTTGAACATGTTCTCATTGTGACGGATTTCTTTGTAGGTGCTTCCCAATGACATGTCAAGTCTGGACAGCATGCATGGCATGTTGAAAACCATATATTGTAAAGGAAAATCAAGACACTTCATATACACTCTTGATAATATTTAATTGAATCTGTTCACGGCATTGTGCAACTGGGGAAATACAGTAAAACAAACATGTTACAGCAAACATAAACTCAGACAGTAAACCTTACTGCAGTAGTTATGAAACAAACAAACAAACTGAACAGACACTGCTGCATATCAATCATTGATATCAAGACGCTCCCGTCTGTCTGCCCACATATTTTCATCAACATCACAAAGAATGTCAGCTCTATCGATGCATTGGGGAAAGTATCTTCTGGAGTGTCGAATCCACCCTCTGCGTGACTCTGCTGTGATGTCTTCACTGGTGAAGCGGTGAATTAAAACATTAGGATTCACCAACTAATGTAGGAGAGGGAACATGTGAGTGAGTCACCATGGCTTGCTCTGTGTCTTGTCTGTAGCGTGTGCTTAATAGTTCCGAAGAAAGGAGACAACGCAGCTCATGGAACCTGTGCTGGAAGCCATTTTATTCTCCGCCAACCTCTTTCCCCCAGAGGGCGCTCTAGGCTAGCATGTTATTACAGCCACTACCATAACATCCCCCTTTCTGAGAATGTAACATTACTGCAAAACTGAACTCCGGAAACTATTGCCCATTACATTGACATATATAAAGCTGTAATAAACCTTATAACCAGTGTTAGGAGTAACGCATTATTAAGAAACGCGTTACAGTAACTGCGTTATTATTATAGTAATGTCCACAGTAACTAGTTAGTTTGCTGAAATCAGGAACGTGTTTATCTTTGCTGGGATGTAAATAGGGTCGTTATTTGGTACTTTGCAAGCCAAACTACGGACTGCAGTTTCCGTGTTGGACTTTTTTAAACAAACTTTATTGAAAAGGGTTGTACACCGACCACCGACATGCCAGTAAACAAAGTTACGTTTCTGAGAGTTCCAGCAAGATGGCGATTTGAGCAGTTGTGTTTTCCGGAGTTCATCTAACTTAGTCCCAACGTTGTATTTGAAGTTGTTGAAAGTCCACTGTGAGGAGACGTCATGGATGCACAGAAGATAATTACACCAGCTAAACTCAGTGCAGGCTCAAAAGAGAAGAATATCCCGCTGGAAGTTAAAAGGAAAAACGGCGCCTGTGCTACCGAGCATGGCTATGCTATGGACACAGCTCAGCTTAACAAGAGGGACCGTAATTTCGACTCCGCACCAATTACACCAGTTAAAACTCCCACAGGGAAAAAGCCAAAGCCAGCACATGACGGTGAGGGCTATGAAGTTTCCAACAACGCAGTCTCAAAGGCAATACTTGACCTTGAAAAATGAGTGAATGGGAAGCTTGCTGATCTGAAGGAGCAGACAAAACAGAGCAGTGTTATGATCGCCACTTTAGCAGAAGCTGTCCAATTTAATGTGGAGGAGTTGAAAGATTGCAAGAAGAAAGTTGAAGACCTGAAGAAACAAAACGACCAGCTGAGCAAAGATAACAGTGAACTAAAAGACAGAGTGAGAGAGCAAGAGAGACACAGGATGAGGTGGTGTTTACAGATTAAAGGTTTGGCAGAAAAACGAGATGAGAACATCCATGAGCAAGTCACTGAAATCCTCCGGAAAGTCGCACCAGATCTGCAGTCGAAGATAGAGGATGCAGTGGACATCGTCCATAGAACGGGGAGGAAGATGGATAATAAGTTCAGAAATGTTGTCATCTTTTTTGCAAAGAGATGGGTGAAAGAAGAAATATGGCGTCGGACCAAGAACTCGCAGGTCTGCAAAGATAAAGGCATCCGCTTTCCTGAAATGTTACCATGGGGGGCCTGGGAGGAGAGAAGATGCCTGTGGCCGCAAATTGAGCAGGCGAGGCATGCGGGAATAGTGACTTTCTTCAGAGGCCCACATGGATACGTGGATGAACATCAGATTGGAGATGACAGGTGAAAAAATTCAAGATTGTAATAAAGTGGAAACGTGTGTAATAGGACATTTCAATTCTACTAAGGTTTAGGTTTGAATAACTTAGTAGACGGAGTAAACAAGTTTATATTTACTGTTCAGTTATTTTTGTGTGTGTGGTTTTTTATGGTTCATGGGAAATGCTGATATTTCATTTGGTTCATTAAATGTTAGGGGCCTGAAAAACAGTGTAAAAAAAAAAGCACTTTTTTGTTTTGTAAAGGGCAAAGATCTCAATGTTTACTTTTGCAACAAGAGACTCGTTCGGCTGATGTGGATGAAGCTTTTTGGACTAATCAATGGGGAGACGAGATCTTTTTAGCCATTGCTCCAGTCGTTCAGCTGTCGTGGCAATATGTTTGAATAAATGCCCCAGAGAAGTTATAACACATAGAGATGATGGAGATGGTCACTGGCTTACAGTGGTTTTGAAGGTAGAAAGTCTGTTTCTTATTATAACAAATATTTATGGAAATAACAAGGATGGACAAAAGAAGATACTCATGGACAGTATAACAAATGTGATATCAGAACTTAGAGTGCTGTACCCCACTAATTATGTTTTAGTTGGAGGAGACTGGAACATGACCCCTGATGAATGGGTGGATAGGATGCCTCCAAGACTCGGTAGACCACGCTGTAATGATGTTGTTAAAAGCTTTATGACAGAAAACAATTTAACTGATATATGGATATGTCTACATCCATGTTTGGAAAGTTATTCATGGTTTAGGTCCAATGGAAGTAACAAGTCCAGAATTGATTTTTGGATGGGGTGTGAGGAGATTTTGAGAACTACTTTGC